GCAGTGTCGTGCGGAGGTTCCGACGACTGCACACTGCCATTAGCAGCAGCTGCAGCTGCAGCAGCAGCAACACGCTTACTCCACGGTGCAGCATTTCGTCCCAGTTGGCTCCATCCATTAGACGAGGAATCGTCTACCATCGCGCCACCAAACGGAGGATTTGCCACTTCATCGGATGTACTGCGAAGACGCTGTCTGGGGCGATCACGTGGATCTCGTGGATCATACAGAGCCTGGGCTCGAGTATTGAACGGCTGCTGCTGCTGTTGCTGCTGCTGCGTAGCGGTAGTAAGCCCTCGACCGACACCAAGTGCCCCTCCGCGACCACCACGATTCGAACCTAAATATGCGAAAATACGTGAAATTTGGGCGTTTCAGCGAAGAAAATCGTGAAAAAAGTATTCTTAGGAATTATTTCACAGCCATGGAACGAAGAAAACTTTTGGCGATATTTAAGAAAATCTCACCAAATCGACCAATAACCGAGGTATCCGTAACGTGCGCCGAATTTACTTGTGCAATACCACGACCACGATACGAGCCCAGTGCACCACCTCGGCCAAACTGCGCACTACCTCGGCCCACACCTGCACCATTTGCGCTTCCTGGCAAAAAAACAGAGAATAACACAAGTATCCAAGCTTCTTCACAAAAAGTAGACGAAGATGTAAGCTCAGTTTCGGCACTTTTTCTAAAAAAATTCTCTTTTTTCCAGCGTTTTTTTTCGAGGGGAATAAAACGGAATAATAAACTGCGGCCGTTGGAAGGCCGCATCATAATCTTTTATTTACTTTCATTTTATTAACTTCTACTTTCATTTTATTTACTTAACAGGTACAACTCCAGTTCAACATTCGTAATGGTGGAGGTATTGTTTTATAACATGCACTTTTAACCTCTGCTTTAACCTTCCTAATTTATCTTGATTTTCTTTTTTCTTTTTGATGCATTGCATGTTATTTTTGCTAACTGTCACAGTGACGAGGTCCAGTTGCAGCAATGAACAGGAATATATGCGACTTGATGGACCGAAGCATTCCTATTCAGATTTTTATTCAGATTTTAACTTATTCACATTCCCTTTTATTCCCTGACTTCTTACATAAACACACATCATCTAAAATTAAAATTACAAAGCCGGCGGTCAGAAAAAATCAAAAAAACATACCGGCCGAAGTGACGCCACCCATCCAGGACGGTGAAAATGCGCGATTCTCCTGGCCGGTTCTCAGCTGGTTCGGGATGTTCGCGGCCCCGATCATGCCACCGGATGCAATGGTTGCGCGATCGGCGTGACTCAACAGACTCATTGCTTTGCTTGAATTTATATTGTGTTGTAGCCGCTGCAAAAAAAGCACTTTTTATGCGTTTTGTGCTGTGTAATAGCGTTACAAAACGCATATTGTCACGGGGTTGTCTGTGTGTGTGTGTGTGTGTCACATTTTGTCCCGCACTTTCAACTCGGGAAACACAAAAGCTCGGCGGCTGAAATTTCAGTACAGTGTTCCACACCAACGGGTGACGCGGCAAATTTAAATTCAGCCTTCGCGTACTCGTGGGCAACTCGTACGGCCCCGTGAAAGTTTTTTACGGGTAAAATAATATCTCAGGAACCGCGGAGTCTAGGAGACTGAAATTTTAAGGTAATGACCCCCTGCCCACGCTCAACCTTGCCCATTCAAACTCAGCGTTCCCGCACTT